CAAACGAGGCGGGTAGGGCGTATGCCTTGGACGCGGCTGACCCGGGTTCGATTCCTCCGCCCCTCTCGGAGAGACCGGCAAGCTCCCTGTGGCGTAGTCCATATGCCGGAAACAGTAGCAAGTCTCACCATGGAGACGTTACTGGTGCCCGCTCGAGCAAACTGATAAACAAGGGGATGACGGCGCTCCTGTGCTACATCTTCAGCAATATCTTAAAGATTAATACTTTGAGATTCTTCCAACAGAGACGGAAACAAAGAGAATGGCTTTTCCTCTTAACCCTAAATGTTTCTACACTGTTTCCATGTTTTAGAAACACGATGTCTTTTTTTTTGAGGGGGGATCAGCCACTGGTGCTCAGGGCTTCCTCCCAGCCTGACCCTATGTGGCGGGGAACAAACCTGGTTCCCATTCACTGGACTCTCTCACACCTCTACTTTGTTTTGGGTTTGTTTCGGTTTGGCTTTTGCTTTTTGAGTCACACCCGGCGATGCACAGGTTACTCCTGGCTCATGCACTCGGGGATCACTCCTGGCTGTGCTCGGGGGACCATATGGGATGCTGGGAATCGAACCCGGGTCGGGCCACATGCACGGCAAACGCCCTCCCCGCTGTGCTGTCGCTCCAGCCCCACACACCTTTATTTTATATTTATGAATAAAATCATGGGCTGGAGCGGCAGCACAGCGGGGAGGGCATTTGCCTTGCACACGGCCAACCCGGGTTCGATTCCCAGCATCCCATACGGTCCCCTGAGCACCGCTAGGGGTGATTCCCGAGTGCATGAACCAGGAGTAACCCCTGTGCATTGCCGGGTGTGACCCGAAAAGAACAACAAAAAAAGAATAAAATCAGTCTACGGCCATACCACCCTGAACACGCCTGATCTCGGCGGATCTCAGAGGAGCAGAACCACGGGCAGAGTGACAGCGCAGCAGGCAGGTGCTTGCCTTGCAACCTCCGACCCACCCCGGGCATCCCGTTTGGTCCCCCGAGCGCTGCCGGTTATGACTGCCCCCCAACCCTAAAAATATTCCCACCGGGCTGAAAGATGGCTCCAAGGGCCAGGACCCCACAGGGGAGCGCTCCCCGGGCGGAAACAGCTGGGCCCGCAGCGAGGTCTGTGGCCCCAAGCCAGGGCTCCTGGATTCCCCCAGAAACGAGTGCCCCTCACACTGCAGGGACACAGGCCTCACAACGGAACCGGGCAGCCACAACCGGTGAGCCCAGCCCGGCCAGTCCCCTCAGTGCCCAGCGACTGGCCCCTGCCCGGAACCACTCGGCCGTTACCTCGCCTCTCGCCACGGCTGGGCACACGCAGGGGGTCTGGTCACTGCTTGGCACCTGTTCCTGTACCCTCGTGTGTGTGTGGGGGGTAACACCTGACGATGCTCGGGGCCGTGTGGGATGCCAGGGCTCCAGCCCCCCCGCTTCTAGCCAATGCGCCCTTCACTGCCTCCCTCGGAGGAGCGGGGCGAGACGCCTGCCGCATCAGCCGGACTTCACCACCGGCCCTCCACGCACCGGCACGCAGGAGCAGAGGCAGGCGCCTTATCGGTCTCTGGAAGAGCAGGGCGGCCAAGAACTTGAGGGAGAAGCGCCGCCCGCGAGCCCCCATCACGCCCCAGCAGGCCGGGGCCCAGGCTGGCCCCTCTCCTGTGCAAGGTAGATAAGGCGACCCGAGCAGCCGGCGACATCGGCCCCCGGAGACACTGCGGCCCGTTCTCCAGCCCGAGGGGGCCTGTCGTGGTCCGAGCGTCGCAGCAAGCATGTGTCTCCGCTGCAGCATCAGAGGGACCCAAGAGCAGCGTCAGGCAAGCAGAGTCCCTTGGCAGCCGGCAGAGACCTTATTACTTAAGATCTCCAGGGGAGAATGTCACAATACCGGCCGAGAATCTGTAAACACTCAGATTAAACTTCAATTTCTAATTCTCTTGTTTTCGCCAAAGCTTAAACACGACCCATCAAAAGGAGAAAAACAGGGTCTGGAGCGAGAGCACGGGGGGAGGAGGGGCACTTGCCTTGCACGCGGCCAGCCTGGGTTCGACCCCCAGCGTCCCGTACGGTCCCCAGGCACCAGCAGGAGTCACCCCAAAACCAAAAACTAGGGAGGACAGACTCTCCAGAAACCGGAAGAGAACCTGTTTTCAGAGGAAAGGTGCGTCTTTCAAAAACTGAAAAATGGGCCAAGTTCACGTCCGCGGGGTCGCAGGGAGAGAAGAGGAAGGGGAGGGCGGCGAGGGGCAGAGGCCCCCCCAGCGGAGCAGCGTAGGGGGCAAGGACGCCGAGACAGCCACAGGGCCAGGGCAGCACCAGGTCAAGGCATCCGCCCACACACGGCCAACCAGGGCTGTCCCCGGCACCCCAGGAGGCCCGAGCAGAGCCAATCAGGTCCTGGGCTGGTGTCCGAAGGGCCAGCACGCCCACGTCCAGCTCGGAGCACACGGTCCCCAGCACTGCCGGGCGTGGGACCCCTGAGCTGCCGCAAGTGTGGGCAAAAGCAGACCCGGAGGAGCTGAGGGCAGGGAAGGAAACGGGATGGACCCGAGCGGGGCCGGCTCCCCAGATGTGCCGGAACCGCCCCGCAGGCCACCTCGCCACACCCAGGGGCTGGGTTGTTTTTGGGGTCCCCACAGCTGGCTCCTCCCCAGGCTTGCAGTGAGTCTGCGGTTGGTCCCTGGGCCCGGGAGGAGCCAGCAGGTGAGGGGCGTGCCCACGCGCTCGGGCCAGCCAGGTCCCAGCCCCCGCAGCCCCAGAGGAAGCCTGGGCACGGGCGCCCTGACCTCGCCCGGGCGCTCTGAGCCTCCCCAGCCTCCTCCTCAGCCCGGCTGGACCGAGGGAGAGTGACAGGAGCGCACTGGGGACAGCCAACAGCAAAGCCGGCAGGCAGCATCCGCTCTGCTGAAATAGCACTAAGGGACAAAGGACAGCGTCCCCCGGCCTGGGGCCAGTCCACTGCAGTGGCTGGTGGATCTGGTGCCAGTGAATCCTGCCCAGGACTCAAAGTCGGCCTGCGCTTCCTCGGACGCCAGCGACGCCAGCGACGCCAGGGACCCCTCCTGTGACCCCTCCTGATCCCCGGGGTAATCCTGTGCAGAATCTGACTTCCAGTTAACGACCCTGGTGTAACTAATTCAGGCAGAAATGATACAACTGTTCCCCACTCAAGGCTACACTAACTGCTCTACTCAGAGCCGCCCTTGGTGGTGGTGGTGGCGGCGGCGGAGGGGGGGTCCCCCTAGCGAATCCGGGGTCCCCCTAGCGAATCCCTCCCTGCTTGAAAGGCAGCCTCACAGCCGCGGTGGTCAGCCTGGCTTCTGAGGGCTCAGGAAGTGGGCGCCCTGGTCATGACTGCCATTCCAGCATAGGTGGCCTGGGGGGGAGGGGGCCAGCGCCTCTGCCCAGGCAACACCCTGACCCCACCAAGAGCTTCAGGCACGGAACACAGAGACCAGGCAAAGGACAGTGGTGCCTGGAGTCCCTGTGCTGACCCCAACTGCTGCCCCTGAGAGCTGGACCCTGAACTGCCCACTCAGCGGTCGTGTATAAACACAGGCAACAGTAGCATGACCTCTGCCACATGCTGTCTGCTGGACCCCAGAAACCCCACGGGGGAAGACGTGGGTGCCCGCCGAGGCACGGTCAGGCCCAGGCCGGGGGCGGGCGGAGTGGCCGGCAGGCAGCGCCTGGGCCGGGGTCCACGCAAAGCCCCTCTGTGGCTCAAGGCAGAAGGCGCAGTTGGAACGAACCATCCCGAGCACTTTCCCTTCACATCTGAGCCCACGGCAGAGGCCACGCCGCGCACCTTCACCTCCCAGGGACAGCGGCCACGCTCCCCTGCCTACCCGGGGGGCCTCCGCCTCCAGGGACCTGACGGGCAGCACGGACGGGTGCAGCCTCCAACCCTGAGCCATGGCCCTGCCCCCGGTCTGGAACTGTGACCGGCAAGTCCATCTGGAAGCTCCTTCCCCTAGACTGGGTCCGGGGCTGCAGAGCCCGGCAGGCAGGGCCGGAAGAGCTGGGACCCTGGAGCTGGGACCCTCGTCACCTCATGACTGGTGTTCAGCACGGCCCTTCCAAAAAGAAACTCGCGATGAGGGCAGCCGGCAGCTATGCCACCATCCGGACCTTCACGGCACTCCAGCTCTAAGACCTGCACCCGAGGAAGGGGTCCCAATCCTCACCGATTCTGCGCGGGTGATGCTGTTGTCTGACAAACACGACGGGCCTGGCCGAAAAGGCGGTCGCCGGGGGTCTGCGCGTGCCATCCCGCGACACCTCGCTGGCCGGCGGGGCACCCAGGGCAGGGCACCCAGGGCCCCGAGCCCCGACGCGCCTCCTCGCTTCAAACTCGCGAGGTCCACGCGGCCGGGCGGACCTTGCACCCGCCGGGCCGCGACGAGGCGCCGTTAAACATTAATGTTCCCGCTGCGAGGAGGGCAAGGACGGCGCTTCCCGGGAGAAGCGCGCTCGAGGGACGCACGTGCCGGGACCCCCGAGCCGCGCTGCCCCCCGGAAGCCCCCGGGCGAGGAGGAGGAAAACGGGGGAAGCAAAAAAGAAGGAGACTCCTTGAAGTGCTCGGAGAAGTCGCCCAAAGTCACCGGCGGGGCCGCGCGACCCGCACCCCCACCCCCGACCCCGGCCCGCACCCCACCCCGCGCCCCGCCCCCTTCCCGCCCCACCCCCACCCCCACCCCGCGCCCCGCCCCCCGCCCGCACCCCGGCCCGGCCCGGCCGCCCCTCACGGGCGCACAGAGACGCGGTGCGGGCGCGCTCAGCCCCCGCCCCCTCCCCGCACCCCGGCCCGCCCCCCCGAGACCCCCGGCCGCCCCCGGCCCGCCCTCCGGTCAGGCGCCGCGCGGCTCCGGCGGGTCCGGCGGGTCCGGCGGGTCCGGCGGGCGCGGGGCCTAGTCCCGGCGGCGCCTCCCCGCGCGCCCCGCGCCGCCCCCGCCCCGCGCCGCCGCCGCCCCGCGCCCCGCCGCCGCCCGCGCCCACCCACCTGCGGCTCGCGGAGGGCCATGGCGGCCCGTCTCGGGAGCGCGGCCGGCCGGGCTGCTCACGCCGCTGCCCCCGCCGCCGCCATCTTCTCGCCCGCACGGCCACGCTCGCCGCGCCCGCCGCGCCTGCGCACTGGGCGCGCGCCGCGGGGCGCGGGCCGGCCGGGCGCGCAGCGCGCCTGCGCGGCCGGCAGGTGGGCGTGCCCGGCGGGAGCCGGCCGGGCGCGCAGCGCGCCTGCGCGGCCGGCAGGTGGGCGCGCGCGGCCGGCGGCGGGAGGGCGCGCACTGCGCCTGCGCGGCCGGCCGGTGGGCGTGCCCGGCGGGAGCCGGCCGGCCGGCCTTGCAGTGCGCCTGCGCGACCGGCAGGTGGGGCGCGCGGCGGGGCCTGCCGGGCTGGATGGACTCGGCGCCCCGGGCGCTGTGCGCGGCCTCCCCGGCCTGCGGGGAACCCGGCTTAGGCGATCGCGCCCGACGCCGGGCGGCCGGGGGCCTCTCCGCCGCGGGGGAGCACACCTGGGGGCCCCGCTGGTCGCGGGACGTCCACCAGGTCCCGGCCGGCGCCACGCGCTTTGCAGGAGTTGGAGAATCCTGGGTGCAGCGTTTGGCGATGCTGGGGGTCCTCCGGGCCGACGGCGGGGTGGGGGCTGCGCGCGGTGCGGGGAGGAACCCAGAGCCTCGCCCCTGTACAGCCTGGCTCTACTTCAACCTCAGGCCCGGTGCTGGAGGATGTTAAGAAGTAAAATGGGGGCTAGAGGAATAGCACAGCGGGTAGGGCGCCTTGCACGCGGCCAACCCGGGTTCGAGTCCCAGCATCCCATATTGTTGGATACAAGGAGCTTAGGTTTATCTGGTTACACCCAACAATCTAGTTACACCCATCACGGTTCCCCTGAAGCAGATAAACCACTTCCATTGTGTTTATCTGTAAACAGTCTTCCCTATGCTCTCCTTCCCACCCAGTTAATCAGCTTTCCCCCTAATCAGACTGTTAATTTGTAAGGTCAGTTTCCCAGAAATCTTTGATTTTATATGAATGAGTGAAATATTGCCCTTCTCCTCTCCTTATGCCTTATGAACAGTTTACCTTAAAGTAATATCTTTTTGTATAGATACAGGAAGACCGTTAACATCATGCTTTGTAACTTAGGATTTAATTGGCCTTGAATATTATTCACTCCCGGGCATCTGCTTTCTCGACTTAAGCCTCAGTTGCCCTTAGTTCTTAGCACCCCAAAAGCAGGGTCCCGACGAGGGACTGAATGGACCCAGGGCAAGCAGTGAGCTACCCTGGCAGCGAAATGGGCCAGGCCAAAGTGCCACGATTCTTAACTATAAGTTAAGAGTTTGATCATAGACAAATGCTGTCATGATCCAAAGGTAACGACAAGACTAGGATCCTGCTAGGGGTGGGAAAGACTATCTGGCCTGAGCACCATAGTCTGAGATCGAGATGGCCCTAGGAGAGCAATTCTATAAGTTTAAGATATTTCTTACTGTATCCATACAAAATGATTTATATTATATTCTTATATGCTTGTCGGACAAGGAGAGGAGAAACACACCCGTGGGATTCTGCTCTAGGGTGGGTCCTCCTGCTGAGGATGGATCTGTCCTAGGAGCGGCCTTCCCTGAGGCTAAGATTTCTACCCCTATTGATTGTGACCGCACCTATGTGTAATTGTTCCCCCAATTCCTCATGGAGAGAGGATTTAACTGTACTATAGGAGTGGGCTAGGGTTCAGAAGAAAGAAGCAGAGGAAGAGAAGCAGGATGAAGGGGAATGGAGAAGGAGAATGAAGTAGCTGGGGGAGGAAGAATGGGGGGCAGAGACAGATGAAGAGAGAATCAGAATAAACTACGACTAATACCTACCAGCCTGGCCCTCGTTCCTTCCTCCGCCTGACCATCGCCATCGACCTCTCCAGGATGGGAGAAGGGTGAGACTACTGAACACTGGCGGCGGGAGAGATAGAGCCACGGCCGCTGTGTGTGCTGTGCCCCTTTTGTGTGAGTTTACACACATATGGTCCCCTGAGCACCGCTAGGGGTAATTCCTAAGTGCAGAGCCAGGAGTAACTCCTGTGCATTGTCGGGTGTCACCCCAAAAGCAAAAATAAAATAAAACAACGGGGCCAGAGAGGTAGTCGTACAGTGGGTAGGGCGTTTGCAAGCGGTCGACCCGGGGTCGGCTTCCGCATCCCATACGGTCCCTTGAGCAGCGCCAGGAATGATTCTTTAAGCACCCATGCGTGTGGCCCCAAAACAATGAGGCCCTAGAGATCGTACTAGAGGGAAGGCTGTCTGTCGCAGACAGGCCAGGGGAAGTCAGAGGGGTGTAGTAATTAGTGAGGGTGATTTGGGAATAGTAAACCTTGAGGGGCCGGAGCGACTGTACAGCGGCTGGGGAAGGTGCCTGCCTTGCACGTGGCCAGCCCCGGTTTGGTCTCCTGCCTCTCACCCAGACCTCCATAACCAGAGAAGCCCAGGGAGGCATCGTATGTAACCTCCTAAAAGGCATCCCAGGTTTCTCCACTCTGGAGAAGGCTCCAGCACTCAGAGTGTTGCCCCAAACCAACGAAACCTTCCCTGTGGGGCTGAAATCGGTGACCGCCCAGTGATTAGACTATGAGAAATCAGTCAGGAAGTGACAATTCGTGATGGTTTTGCTCAAACATACTCAAAGCGAAAAAGCAAGTGAAACCCAAACTGGACCGTACAGAAATTCAGCATTCACCTTGCACATGGCTGGCCCCGCTGACTCCCCCACAGCACATAGGGACCCCCCCACCAGGCGCCAGGAGCTCTGTGCTCAGCATTGCTGGGGACCCAGCTGGGGTCGGCCGCACCCCAGGGAGCGCCTTGCCCCGGCGCTCTCTCCAGCCGTCTTCCTCCCTGCGCCTGGTGAGGGAACGCAGGCTGGCCTGGAGAAGGGGTGAGGTGGCGTCAGACGGGCAGCCAGTCGGATGTCAGCATACTCCTGTGTTCTGAGCGAAGCGGCTGGTGGTTGGGTGGTCTCCAACCGCAGTCGCGTTCTTTCCGCCAGCATTTAAAGCCAGCAGCCGCAGGAGGGGCTGGAGAGATAGCACAGCGGGTCGGGCGTTTGCCTTGCACGCAGCTGACCCAGGTTCGATTCCCAGCATCCCATATGGTCCCCTGAGCACCGCCAGGAGTGATTTCTGAGTGCAGAAATTCCTGTGCATCGCCGGGTATGACCCAAAAAGCAAAACATAAATAATTAATTCACTTACTAAATCACTTAACTTCCCGTTAGTCGTCGATTTGCTCGAGCGGGCGCCAGTAACGTCTCCATTTGTCCCTGTCGCGTGCTAGTGTAGCCCAATGGCATCTCTTCGCTCCGGGAACATGGAGGGCCTCAAACCGATCGTTCATGATCTTGACGAAGAAGTCTGACCATCTGGTAGGTGGGCGGCCACGCGGTCTTTTGACATCCCATGGAATCCAGTCGGTAACAGCTCTAGTCCAGCAGTCATCTTTAAATCTCATTACGTGACCAGCCCATCTGATTTTCGATACCTTGGCAAATGAGACAGCGTCCCTGATCCTTGATCGTCGACGGAATACGATCGACTGGTTCAGCACCTCCATGAATGTGCGAGGAACGCCAAGAGAGAGATAGCCACAAAAAGTCGCCTATCTTCGAAAACTCTTGAGCTAATTCGCCAGCGTGGTTTGGCGCATGCCTCAGGCAACCGCAAGCTAACGTCCGAGCTTGCAAAGCAGTGCAGAGATGCGATCAAGGAAGACCTCAAAGAGAGAAGAGCAGAAGTACTGGTAGATGCAGCAGAAGCCGGGAAAAGTATTCGTAATGCCCGCCTGTCCTTTGCCAACTATAAGACCAAGATGACTGCCCTCCGACGTCCTGATGGATCCATCACATCCTCCAGAACGGCAAAGGAGAAGATTATCCATGACTTCTACTCAAATCTCTTCGATAGCCATGTCCACTTGCCGACATACCAAATTCCACAGGATGGGTATGTCGTTCCCAACGTTCTCCCTTCCGAAATCCGACACGCCATTTCATCAGTAAAGAAGCAAACAGCACCCGGCCCAGACAAGGTCAGACCTGAACACCTGAAGAACCTGCCGTCAGTACTCATCAATACACTGGCTCGGCTCTTCACTCGCTACCTGTCTGAATGCAAGGTTCCGTCCCAATGGAAAACCAGCAGGACCGTACTACTGTTCAAGAAGGGAGACATCCATGACATTGGCAACTATCGCCCGATCTGCCTATTGTCTGTCATCTACAAGTTGTTCACTCGAGTCATCCTGAATAGGATTGGCAGAACACTAGATGAAGGACAACCATGCGAGCAAGCAGGGTTCCGCAAAGGATTCAGCACCATCGACCATATCCACACGGTAACCAAGCTCATTGAGGTTTCTCGGGAGTTCAAGATGCCGCTCTGCTTAACGTTCATTGATTTAAAGAAGGCCTTTGATTCTGTTGAGACGGAAGCGGTCATTGAAGCCCTAGCCAATCAGGGCATTCAAGCCCAATACATCAGGATCCTCCGTGAGCTGTATTGCGGATTCACTACCAGGATCTCACCATTCTACAAAGAAGTGATCGTTGATGTCAAGAGAGGGGTGTGGCAGGGTGATACCATTTCACCAAAACTCTTCAGTGCCACCCTCGAGAACATCATGCGACGACTGGAATGGGAAGGAATGGGAGCGAAGATAGATGGTCGGCAACTACACCACCTCCGCTTTGCTGATGACATTGTTCTAATAACACCAAACATCAGCCAAGTGGCACAAATGCTGACCGACTTTGACCATGAGTGTGGAAAGGTATGACTACAGCTGAATCTTACGAAGACAATGTTTATGAGAAACAGCCTCGTTCCTGATGCCCCATTCGCTCTCAATGGAACGACCATCTCCGAATGCAACAGCTATGTGTACCTAGGTCGAGAGGTCAACATGAGAAATGACCTGGCACCCGAGCTGCGCAGGAGGAAGAGAGCGGCTTGGAACGCCTTCAAGAACGTCGAAGAAATAGCTAAGAGGACGAAGAACCTCCGGCTCCGGGCACATCTCTTTGATTCCACTGTTCTTCCTGCATTAACATATGCCTCAGAGACCTGGGCCCTA